CCTTCCAGCCCTAATGCCTATGAAATCTATGAAACTTCAGTGCCAAGTTCTCTCTTCTTTTAATGTGGTTTGAGTGGCTGGAGAAGTAACATTCCCTATGACCTATTGAGCATACTGCAGCTTAAGAGGCTTCATGGCTCGGTCACCCTTTCTCTTAATGCCTGTCACCAAGGTAAATAAAGGCTGGGACTAATAACTTTTTCAGAGATAGAGCAGAGACGCAACTCCTCAATAATGTATGATCTAACAATGTCCTCTAGTCTAGTTCAGAGTGAGGAGGTCAGAGTGAAGGGAATAAGATTTGACTGGAAATCCTGGCCTCTTTCCTTAAACTAGAATTGTTGCTATATTGAAGGCTTTGAAAGTGTATGAGATGGGGAAAAGCCTACAAAAGCTTATGGCTTCCTGAATGCATTAGTGTCTAAGGTGCCATCCTGCCCCACCCAAGACAGATGGAGAGGATTTTTCTGTCCCACAGTAAAATTACTCTCTATTACCAAATATTGATTTCACTGCGTCTCTGTCCAAATACTCTGTTGTGAGATGTATTTTAAAAGACAATCAAGCTCAGTCCAAACTTGTGACAGCAGTTCTCTGAGATAGCAAGGACTAGGAGTAATGTGGAACATATAGGTGTTACCACTTAGCAATGTTCCTCAGAGAACCGCTGAAAATTGGAGGGAGCAGAGATTAGGAAGGAGGAAATAAAGAGATGGACCCATGGACATCCTTACAAATGGGTTCACTCCTTTTGAAATCGGTTAAAAAATTGCATTTATGCCAGGGCTGAATTTGGCTGACAGCATTCAGGCCTGAAAACCAATGTATGGAACCATGTAAAGACAACCATCCCGTACTTGTCACTGACGAAGGAGTACATGAGGAGTCGCTGCTCAATGAACCACTTCCACTCGGGATTCTCATTCTGGAGATCCCGATAGTTGTCATTGGAAACAATGACCCCATCTTTGGCATAGGCCACTTTAACTATGTAGCGATCATCATAGCAGACCACCCTCTTCCCTTTCACTTTGCGGGATGGGGTGTACACAAGGATTGATTGCTTTTCAAGTTCTTCGAGAATGTGCTGATCTGAAAACAAAAAGGAGACAGGGAGGAAAGTCAGTACTTAGCAGGTCTCCAGCACATCCCATAAGAATCTAAGTGCACTTTGAAAACTTAGATCCGTCTCCTAAGTCTACATGTAGGGACCTAAATAAACGGGGTGTTTTCCAGAGGCACCATGAGCAAGATTCACAAAGGAACTGCTTGGGCAGGTCCTAAGGAAGGACTCCTTCCCTCCCAATGGACTTCCTTAGGACCTGCTTTTCCAATGCCGTTGGTATGTCATATTAAATTATTATTTGGTGCAAAATGTCTAAGCAGTTCCTTTTCTGAAAGGTGGGACATGTGGATTTGAACTCCCTGGGGTGAAAGAAGGCCCAGAACACAGGTTTCCATTTCCTGGGCAAGTGTTCTCTAACTAGGCTACTAATGCACAAAGTAGACACCGGTACCCATTACCACCAAGTGGCTGTGCACTGATCTCAGTCCTGTCAGTCAATGCCCAGTTTTGCTCTGAGTGCACCTACCAAACTGGGCCCATCAGAGGACTTGGGTGCAGAGACATCTACTTTGGGAGTCCCAGACAAATAGTTTTAGGGAAGGACAGACAGTCAGTTGAGATGGCAGTGCCTCTGAGCCTGTGCTGCAGCCAAATTTTAGATGCGCAAGTCAGTTTTTACTACAGAACTCAGCAGATTACATGGATTTTCTGTGCATCATTCTCTTGAATGATCTCAGCCTCTGCAGTTATGTACTATCTGATGTGTGTGGATGAACATCCTGAGAGTGTAGGTGTTTATGCCACCCCTTACTGCCTGGTGCTAGTACATCTGACACAGTCCTGTGGACAGCCAAAGTTGATTCTTTTTTAGTTCGTGTTTTTGAAACAGAAAGTTCTAGCATCCATTACACAGGCTGCACAGACATAGTTTAATCTGACAGCAATAGTTTGTATATGGCCACAGATTCATTACAATACCTGAAATGCCTGGAACATCTATTATCTGCTTCCACAAATGTGTTTTCCTGCACAGACAAAACACTATATTCTTGCACTATATTCTTTAAAGTCCACAGTGTCCTGACTATATATGGCATTTGTAATCATTTTATTTCTAATTGTGCTTGGGATGCTTGCCTACCTGTAATAGGGCTATCAAATCGCGGTGGTTCCTTTCTCCAGGTTGGGACGAAGACCTTGATATATTTATGACCTCTTTCTCTGAACCAGTCCACCGCCAGCTGAATTCCCCAGCACGAGAACACTTCTTTGTTCCCATGGCTGTAAGCAACAGAGAGAGAGAAAATACGTTAAGAACCAGGAAGCAGTTCTGACAAGGTCAGACAGCTCTCTGCAGCCGAGTCCATTATACAGACCAGACATCCTTGTGTTCAGCCTTGACACCAACAGCTGAGAAAGTCACCTTCAAATACCGAGCAGGGAGCTTTAGATGCATAACTCCAGATACACCTTCCAATGGAATAAATCATTTATTTTCATCACAGCCTGGATGCTTTTAAGAGGTCTTCCACACAAAATTTCAAGGACTGAAGTAGTTGCATGTGTGCCCATCCACTACCCCAAAATGACTGCCATAATCTCCAAGTAGAGATGGGGTCTAGGTCTTGCCTGATCCTACCTTGGGCTCTGTCAGACTGCCGCATGGCCTGGCCCAGTGACTTGAGCAAGGAGTCATGGTACAAGCAGAACTAACAGACCACACAATACTACTAAGGAAAAACACAGGAAGTTGAGATTTTTCTGCTCCAAAATAAACTTTTTAAGTCCCATTCTCACTACATGCTCCTTTCAAAATGGTAGCCAGGCTGGTTACACGTCACATACAGGATGAAGAGAAGTCATTCTCTTCATGATCCCAGAATCCCACAAGAAAGAAGACCACAGCGTGGAAATGGGGTGGTAGGAAGCCCCAACAGCCTAATGCCTCATACCACCTTATTTTGACTGGTTATTGGGTTTGGTCTTTCCAGGCTGGAGAGAAAGAGTAAACCCAATGTAAGCTGTAGCAGATCCAGTTATGGGAAAAGTCAGGGTTAACAACTTTCAAAATAAATGAAGACAGAGGGGTAACATTAGGACACAGAAGAGTAACAAAACAGAAACCTAGCAGAAGGGTGTGTTATATGTCCTATGCCATGATATTCTTGCTACTTGTCATTTACTATAATAGGAAGCCTAGGAAGGTGACTTCTTTCTGCTTAGCCATCCCTATCCAAGAAAATAAATGCATGGGTTTATATACAACAATCACGGGACAGAGATTAAACCCCAACTCAAAGGTCCTGAAATGGATAAATACCAACACATTATCTACAGAAACCTCATAGTTGTACTTTGAACTTCCTGGTCAACACCTCCACAGTCATGTTAGTGTTTTCAACACTGAAGAATGGAGGCAAAACACAAATTACATAAACAATCTGTATCACCTTGACTAGGCAAAGGCACCTGAAAGTTTCATTTTGTCCCTTGTCATAATTGCAGTAGTGACCCCAAAAGGAGAAAATGATGAATGATGCAAGAGCATAAACCTTTCACATTAACTTGTTTTGCTCCCCCTACACTGGGGAGTAGGTTAAATCCTTGGCCTTTTACAATGCATTTGGCAATGGTATACAAATTAATTTTAATATTTATCCATTATAGGAATCCTTGTTTATTGAAGGGCACATAGATTTCCTCAACTACAGATAAATGTGGTCTAGAATTCAGAAGATCCATTTAGCTACATGCCTTTCAAATGGGCTGACCATAAGGAAATCTGGGACTTCTGGGACACTGTCTTCCCCCTCCCCCGGGCTCTAACAAGTCAACAGTGCTGCTGCAGACAGAGGAGGGGTGGAGAGGGGGCATAGTGTGCCAGGCAGGCAGTGGTGCCTACTCGCTTGCCTCCCTGGAGCATTGTGCTGCTCTGCCTTCCTGCCAGATTGTGCCCCATGCGCCTGCATTTCCAGGACACTCATTTGAATTCACACCAGCCAACTGGCACTGGCCTCCAAAATCCAGGACTGTCCCAACTAAACTGGGATGTAAGGTCACCCTACCTGAAAAGGAAACTAGGCTCCGTTCTCTCTTTGATGCTAGCATTTATAAATAAAGTTCAGTGGACCAGGGGCCTGCTCCCCCATTCTTCTACCTCAGTTTTACACAATTTTATACCCACTGACTTTAACAAAGCGGGGAAAGGCAGAAGTTTGGTAAAATTAAATAAATATATAAAGTTTAAAACTAGCAGAAGAGAAAGATAATAGGCCTGTGTGAATAGGGAAGTATTTGATTTGGAGGACAGAGATTCATTTCAGAGATTTGGATCACTGTCCCAAATCGATTCAGCCAAATCAGCTTCGGAAGATTCGGTGCCGATTTGGAGAGATTCGGCCATAGATTATAATGGGGGATCACTGAAATACCTATAACTTTGCCATTTTGTGGCAGAGTTGGATGAAAACAGCAGGAATGGTAGCCCCTTCTGAGGGCATGAGGCCTGCCAGGTTTCAAGGAGATAGGTGCAGGGGTTTCTGGGAAACTGTACCTCCAGCTTCTGAAAGCAAAGCTCATGACGTGATTTTGTGGGTGTGTTAAGGCACAGTGGGATGAAACCAGCAGAGCTGATAGCCTATAACAGGGGACTTCCCAGTGCTCAGGCAGAGACAGCTCACAAAAGTAACAGAAAGACTGCAGACAGAGGCTTATGAGCTGTTTCTACATCCCTCCCCCAGAGCACTGTGACTGGAAGGGGACTCAGGGAAAGATCATAGTCACTGGCCAGCTACAGATGTCAGTCTTCCCCCCAACCTTCACTCCCCCTCCCTCTTCTCAGTTTCTGTTCCCCTGAAAGACTGCCTTCTGAAATCTCTGAATATTTTCCTGAATCTTTTCTGAATCGATTTAGAGGTCTCTTTTTGGTCTCCCAATTCAATTCAGATTTGGTGATTCGGCCTCCAAATCGGGCCAAATCTTCTCTGAATCAAATCATAGACCAAAGCTTTGCACACCACTAGCAGATAATTCACCAGAATTATGTGTTGATAGCATTGTTTCACCTAATTGTTAACATGGTGCTGTAGCCAGTCTGAAACCCCCTTTCTGGACTCTTGTGCTTTAGGCGTCTGAAAAGATCCTGTTTATTGTTACAGAATTCAACGTATTTGTAACAACTGAAGCCTGTGAATAGCAACCTGTGCCTTGTAATCTATCGCAACTTGAACCAAAGTCACATGATAGAAACAAGAACAGCCTCTGACCCACAGTACCTCATGTGTATCACAGTCATCAGTACTTCCATTATTTTTATTATACACATATAAACTGAGGGTAGAGGGATCCCACAGAAGACTGGGGAAGGAATCTGACCTGTGAAGGATTAAGAGTTACATTTTACTTAGGGTAACCTGAAGGGGTTTTATATAAATGTTACATCCTACTTTAAAACATAAATGTGTCTAGTGAAGCCAAGTTTCTTCCATCACAGTATCTTTACCTAGGGCTTTCCAGTCACTGAATTGTGTTTTAAACTCCCTATGAAAAAGGTAAAAGGCAAAACTTTCTGGAGTGGCTAAGAGCTAAAGCCAGATCAGCCTTGTAGCTGCCTCCATCTTAGACTTCAGCAGAGTTGAACAAAGAAAAACACCAGACACCTTCCCTCAGGAGGGTGGATCACCTTGATAGTTAGGTGCCCAAGGCCCCTAGAGAGTGACTACGGAGGGCTAGATAGGCTACAGAGTGAGCGGGAACATCTAGTTCGGGGCAGGCAAAGTCCAGTCCAGGGGCTGGATTTGGCCAGCAGCGGACTCCATTTCCCAGCAGCCCCTGCCCTGGTCGCTGCAACCAATTTCCATGGAGACTCCAGGAGCAGCAGAGCTGTGACAGCACAGAGCCAGGGTTTTCATAGAGAGCAGCCCCAGCAGCACTGGCAGGGTGTGCACCTGGGCAGGGACTGCTCCAGGCCCAGGATCCTGTGGTGGTGACAGCATGGTCCAGACCCACGCTGCGCTGGCAGTTTGGACCATGCTGTCACCACTGCAAGATCCTGGCCCCAGAGCAACTCCACACCCAGCCACGTGCCCTGCCAGTGCTGCTGGGGCTGGTCTCCATGGAAACCCTGCCCCCACACTGTCACAGCTCCACCACTGCTGGGGTCTCCATGGAAACTGGACAGAGCAATGTGGGCAGGGTCTGCTGGAAAATGGAGTCCAGGAAATGGCCAGACCCACCATTTTGCCCACCCTTGAGATAGGTGCTCATCTGTTCTCTCCCCGCAAGTCCCTCAGGGACTTGTGAGTTTTCTTCCAGCCATTGTTTGATACTTATTTATCTTGACACCACCTGGGTGTCACCTTCAAAGGATGTTTTCCAATTCCTGCTGAAGTGTCAACAAGGCTATTCTGTTCTGCTGTTGGAAATGCATATCCACATATCCTCACTTAGGCAAGGCAGCTGTTGCTTCAGTCTCTCTCAACCCCTTCTTTCTCTCCTGTACAAGCTAATCAGGGAAACTGAAGCATGCGGCATTATTACATCATGAATACATTTAAATCAGAAATATTACAATAAAATCTAGTCCATCACAGCAGGGAAACCCACAGAGGCACTAGGAAACACTAGGCACAGAGACTGTCTATACTCCAGACCCTCTCTAGAGCTTAGACACCTGACCCACAGCTGTACATTAGTTGCCTGTCCATTCAGGGTCCAGAGCACACAGTCTCTCTCTAAGGTTAGGTACCTAAAGAGTGTGGAGGCAGCACCCACCATTTCTTCAATTGTCTAGTGGCTTGAGCACTCACCCAGGAAGTGAAAGATCTGGGTTATATGTCCTCAGGCTGAGGGCACACAAGCACACGTTTCGTCCCCCACCCTGAACGCCCTAACTAACTGGTTACAGAACAAGGCTGGATAGGGGTACCTTCCATAGTCCTCATTTCAAAGATGGGCCACTGTGCAAAATGCAACATTCATGGGACCACAAAATACCAGGAAAGAAGTCATCTGACTCTAGCACAGCAGTGAGAGCACTCCACTGGGAGCAGGGAAGTGGGTTATGGTCTCTGCTCTCACATCAGCTTATGTATTTCATATTAAACAATTGTTGGAAGGAAATCAGAACAGTTTTTTAGACCATGGACTAGTACTCAGATTTCCCTCCTCCCAGCTGTGCATTGTATATGTTATGGCAGTATGCAGCTTTTACAAGAGACATCCACTTACATTAACTGGATCTTCTTGGGCTTTCCCCAGTAGTCTGGACTTGGAGTTTTATTTGTAGCAGAGCAAAATGGATTAAGCTGCCCTGTTGAAAAGCCAACTTATCTCCACAAGCAGGGGATTTACAAGCAAGAGACAGCCAACTCAGTGGTATGCAGCACCAGACTGGAAGCACTGTGTACAGATGTTTTATTACTTTGCCTTTCCAGCTTGCAGGGCAATTGTAGACAAATTATTGTATGCCTGTGCCCCACTTACCCAAATCTGTAATCACACTTATCTCCACCATTATTTATACAATGCTCTAGAACCTACACACTGAGGATTAGCACTGGATACTTATCAGTAAGGTGAATCGAAATAAAAAGACAGCACCCCAATCACGGCTTTACTTCCCAGAAAGGCTCCATCCAGACCACAGCTCACCTGACAAGATACAGCTGCAAAAACTATACCAATAACTTTTTTCTTCTTCCACTAGGTTTTATAACTTCTGATGGCTTCTGTCTAATACTTTATTCAACTAATTTCATGATTCTTTTCAAAGACATCATTTAATATTTTTAAAAGTATTTGTTACTGGCTTCTAATATCTTCAGCATTTAAATTCCTCAGAAGGTGGAGCAGATATACTGGGTGAATGCAAAAGACTTGCATCTCTTTTTATACATTATTCACATTATTTTAATTTGTGTTACACCAGCACCTAAAGTCTCATACCAGATCAGGGCCTTGTATAGACATTCATTTTCTCCTGGAAGAGCAGACACTTTCCCAAGAGAAACCATAAGCATATGGATATTCAGGCTTTTTCTCCCAGAATAAAAATGGCCACTCCAGGAGAAAAATAACCTGGGAACAACCAGAGTTAAATCCCTCCTGGGAGCATTTATCCTGGGACAGCAAACACCTATACATGCTTCAGGACTGCACTGAGCGACTAGACAATTCCTGCCTCAAAGGCCATGTCCACATGACCATGGGCACTTGGTTCCCCAGGGACAACTAGCTGTCCCCACAGAACGCCTGTCCCACGTGCTCTCTGGTGCATGGCAGGTTACTACTGGTGGTTGTAGGGGAGGCTGCAGCCAGCACTGGGCTAGGCCCAGCAGCCTTACCTGGGGTCCTGGGGCTGCAGCAGTGGTGATCCTGCTGATCAAAGCCTGGCCAGCAGCTGGAGCATGGCTCTGGTTTTGAGTGGCACGTGCTGCCCCTGCTTGTGCTGCCCCACTTTTTTTTTTGCATGTATTTTTTGGACCCCTGAATATCCAGGGGTCAACAAAAAAATGCCTGCGTACCTCCCTTGCAGCACAGAGAACACCTGACTGTGCAGTATATGGCACTGCAGATGTGTCTGCGGCCCCATATACCGCACAACTGCTCATCTGGACATGACCAAAGAGTTCAACATCTGATGCTAAATGAAGAGGACACACATAAGGTGGGCAGAGAAGTGACTTACCTGGGGTCACACTGCACGTCATCAGCCAGCCAGGGAACAGAACTCCTGCCTCCTTGAATCCCAGCATGCTGCTAGCAAGTGACTTCCCCACCCCTGCATACCATACACTGGCTGTCTATGGTCTGTCAGCAGCAGATGTCACTTGAACTGGTTTAGCTAAATGCGCTCCTTAGTACCTCTCAGAGAGTGAATTCACCTTACTGGATTTTAAGAGCTGGAGGGGCTGTTGAAATGTGAGCATAAACCAAGCCATAGGACTGCCCTGAATTAATTCCTGCTTGAGGTCCAATAGCTCAGGCTGAATCAGAGCATATCTTCCAGATAAACCTTCAATATTGATTTATGGTTTATGAATACAGGATCTGCCACAACCCTTGGTAAATTGTTTCATTGGTAATTACTTTTGCTGTTAAAAAATTCTACTCTGAATTTGTCTCTCTTCAGTTGCCAGCTTTTACAGCTTGGATAGACTGAAGAGCTCTCAGCAGCCTTTGTCAAAGTGCAGCTCATCTCTCTGGGAAGGCTCACATGATCCCAAGGAAAAATCTTAGGATGGAGAAACAAAGAATCCCTGTTCCTTCTACTTTTCTTACAAATGTTTACAATAGGGCTACCCTACGTGTTTTTTCCCCTGCGCTGAGGAGTGGCTGCCTGCCTCAAGTCTGGGACAATTCTGAAGTACCAACTCCTACACAAGACTGAAGAGACAGAGAGTTGCTCTGGCACCTGATGAAATGTGCTCAAGCTCATGAAAGCACATGCTCTGCATCTCTGATCTAGTTGGTCTATAAGGTGAAAATCTACCCTGCTTTTGGCCTGACTTCAACGAGAGGTAGTTAGCTATGTTAGTCTGATATCCATCACATTTACTGAGGCCTCAAGGCTCTGCAGAGCCAAATTCAATTATCTACAATACAGAAAGGCTTCCGTAAATGGAAATGGAAAACAGCTCCTCCCATTCTCTATTTCTTCAACAGAAGGCAATAACTTCTCAATTGTGTCTACTAGGGTTTTTTTTTTAATCTTTATGTACTTATCACTAACTTCCCAGTGATAATCCTGAAGACAGAGATTGGTAGACAGCTGGGAGGAGCTGTAAATTTTTGGATTCAACTTCAAGGCTATTAAAGAACAAACAGAAAGACTGAGCATTTATTTGATATTAAATTGAAAACTACTTTATCTGAAAAGCCAGGAATTCCAAGGTGAAACACCAACCCACGTAGTAATCTAGTAGAGAAATGTATTGTCTCTCCTGTCTCAGTCCTGTAGTTCCCTCCTCACCAAAAAGATATATTGAAGGCTTCCTTTTTAAATGTGCAAAGAATAGATGGTTTCTTAGAAATGCATTTTGATTATATAACCTAGCAAAGTAATGCAACACGTGAGTGATCATTCATTGCACTTACAGTATAGCACGACCGAGTGACCTCAAAAGTACAAGGTTACAGAGATGGGAAACCATAAAGACCTCTGAATGTCAGAGCTGGGGTAACACTCTGAATCCTAAATGGCACTGACTCATTCTGTGGCCATCAGGAAGTGCTTGACCGCTATGGCAAATGATGCATACTTTCCTATGGACAATGTAGGACAATTTACTAGTCAATACTAGTAACATGCTTTGAAAATGAGAAGTACTAACCATCGTAACATAGAGGGTATACTCATCTGGTTTCCCAGGAACCCTCCCTGGGGGAAATTTCAGCAGAAAATTCAAGAACTGTTTGGCTTTTTCATTTTTTACAATGCAGTAATCAGATTTAAAAAAAAAAAAATAGTTCCCTAATTTGTTGTGAGCTAAATGCCCCAGAATATGGTGCAACACATGTCTGAGCTACAGTGATTCAACCTCAGCCCACATAGCACAAGTAAATTAGAATCAGCTATTTAATCAACAAAGTCCCATCATAACAGTTTGTCTCAAAAACTTTGTGCCATCTATTAAAATTAACATTTTCATCCTCATCCTTATACCAAAGACCCTTCTCTGGTCAATTATCAGTCATCAGTGAACACTAACTCTTGGGATACCACCTTCTCCCAGGACTTACTTAAGTGATCACCACAGTGAGATACAGCTAGCTTCTGCCACTACTCTTGAAGTGGAGGTGGGAGACTGGTTGTCTTCTGCTCCCCACCCTATTTAAAAGCCCTCACAAAATCAATGAGGGCAGAGGTCCTACCTGGAGAATGGGAACACTGCCACACTATAAAGCATATGTGCCCTAAAAAATTGTTATAGGAACTCCACAGATTCAGAGTTATGGGTAAGCGTTCACATGTTTTAGCATTCATCTAAGTTGCCTCTATCTAGACCCCACAACCTGGTCGCTGAAATGCACCATTTTCAAGCTCCCCCCCAAAAAAGAACATAACCATTTAAAGGAGAAGAGAGATTATTCAGCAGCAGAGGCATAGCTGAGCCAAAGGAATCTACTCCACATTTGAGTAAGCCAGGATTGCAGACCAAAGACACTCAAACCAGGCATGTTCTGTTCTGGGGTTTTGTTTGCAGAACTGAAATACGACAACTGCAGTTTTGGTCAAATCAAGAAGACACCTATTTTCCCCTTCTATCTACGTACTTTTCTGGTATGTTTTTGCTCTGCCAGGAGTGACGATCGTCATATTGCAAATGTGGCTAGATTTATAAGCATAGACCAGGATCTAATCAGTGATCCACTGAGTCCAATGAATGGAAATACCATGCTGCTATTTTTGTTATTATTTATGTAGATTTGTAAAATTTAATCAGATTTTAAAAAAGCCCAGGTATAGTATTGCCATAAATAGTTAAATAACTGTATCTACTAGGTGACTTTTTTCTTCCCAGTAGTTCCTCAGGATATTGATTTAGATGTCCTGAGTACCTGAACTAAAAGTGAAAGAAAACAGATTGGTAATTAGCTTTGGAGGGGCAAAATGTAGAAGCAGTGGTGTTTTAAACACCAGTAGTCAAAAGGTACTGTGAGAGAAGAGGAATACAGTTTAACTTTCACCCCACTAAAGAAAGGGAGAGAGATAGATGATGCGTCACCCTCAAAGGTCCTCACACCCAAAGCAGGGAAAGCATGACGCCATCAGCATTAATACACAAAGCTGCTGAGAAATGGAACAACCTGGAAATTGCCTACCTCATAGCAACATTGCTGCCATCAATCACAATGGGTCTCAAGTTACTGGAAGAGTTGGCTGTGTCCTCTTCAGGCCATTTGGGCACTGCCAGAGTGCTACATGATCCACGGGCAACAAGTTTTGGCAGTGGGTGCTGAGCCTGACTGCCATGGGCCTGAGGTCTGCTCCCCATTCGGATCAGTTCTTTCAGCACATCATCTTCTAGGGCCTCTTGGCCCAGATTCTCCAGCACTTTGAAGATGTCCTGCTTGACATAGCCCAGCTTACAGAAAAACTCCAGCTTGCCCTGGTGTACGTCCATCTCTGCAGCAGGACCTCTCCTGTGGCGTGCTGTTACTGGTTTGCCAGACAAGGACATCTCAGCAAGGTTTTGTTTCCCTTTTAGAGAATGCTTTTGTCTTCAGCAATGTTGAACAGGCGTCAATTTAGGGGTGGGGAGGGAGAGGAAAGATTAGAAATCATATGATTACATGGGGTATCCAAAGACCCACCTACTGTCTCAGATCTACCTGCTCAGCATGCAATGAATCATTTGTAAGAGGCCAGTTAAACCATGTGTCTTCTCTGTTAAGCAAATGCCCCAACATGTCCTCAGGGGTAGTGGATGTTCTTCTGTTCCACCCCCAAAAGAGCTCCCTAGCAGAGCACCCACATTTTGTCAGAAATTTGGGACATTCATACAGGTATCACACTACTCCATCAGCAAGAGATGCGTATGTAGGTACATTCACATGCATATGCCGTAACTCTCACGTTTGTCGAGCCACTATATCACACAGGAAATCATCTCAAATGCAATGCAGCAGGAGCTTTTCAGTTCACTCAGTGCGGTTAATAGTCCACAGATAAAAATCTTTTACACTTAATTGGAATGAAATAAGCTGTTGTAGCAATTCAGTAAACACAGCAAACTTCACCAAGAGATGCAGATGGAATGTGTGATCTGCAATATTACCTGGAACTATTAAAAAACCCATTTTTTTTAATCAGCACACCCAAAAAGTTTTGATATTGTGCAACTCTTATTCAGGTGAAATCATTCATATGTTCCGATGAGGTCTGACTTAATGATTTCCTGGTATTATCTTCATTTTCAGTTAGGTTTTTATGTAGAGAGAACAAAACATGTTGCTTTTAAAAAGAGGTAGAAGTAATGGTAGGAAGCTAAATCTCTGTGAACAGGGCTTTCAGACTCAGTTGCAGTCATTGCTGAGAGAAACAGATAACTCAGAAATGACTATTCCCAAGCATCAGCTAGAGTAAATTAACCTGCTCTAGCCCTTCACTACATACATGACACATCTCCCTAGCAAGAGAAGGTATGATTTGTAGCCGGGGGAGGAAAACCCATGCTAACTTTAATCTATCTAGTCTTGGTAACAACAGTAGTTATGCAAACTTCAGTCTGCGTCAACCCCAATCCATACCTAGGAGTTGGATCCATACCTAGGGGTCCTTAGGTATGCTACGTTAGCTGCTACATCATCACTACCAGTGGGACCACTGCCAGCTAGACTAAGGCCGCCATCCTGCCATTATATCTCCCAGTTGCAGCACAGATGTATCCTTAAGGCAGTGACTGCACTGGCTCTTTTCATTAAATTCATTAGCTACTGCAGCCCGAGGAAAAACAACACTGATGGGAGCAATAGTATACCTGAGCCACTAGTATTTCAAACAGGACTAAACTCTGCTGGAGGGGGGCTGAAAAGAGCGCAGCAACAGCCCTGAGGGGCTGACAAGCCCTGCAGGACTGAAGGCAGAGGTTCCCCTCTAGAGTAGCATGGGATCTTGGCAGAAGGTCAGTCAGGGCAATCCCAGGGACTATTCATGGACTGGCAGCGATAACAGAGTCCCAATTAACCAAGGTCCAATGGCAATAGAGTTTCTAAAGGCCAAAGTCATATACTGCATGTGCTTCCTCTCCCACTGAAATTTGTCTTACAGAAACTTGGTGCTATTGGTTCTTAATCAGATCTTTTCTTGGGTTCAGCAAAGTCATTATTTTCCTGTTAATTTTTAACACCAAATAAGTAAGCTTTTTGACACAGGGACTGTCTTTTTGCTCTGTGTTTGTACAGTGCTTTGCAAAATGTAACCCTGCTCCTGATCTTAGATGCTATGATAATATAAGTAAATGATTACAATAAGAGAGAGAGTCCTCAGGCATGTTTGCAGAACCCACACTGACAGGGGAGCTGATTATCTGACCAACCAACAGCTATCCACAGCCCCAGAGCTATAAACCTGCCAATGCTGAGCTAAAGAATAGGGTTCCCACTTCCAAGTAGTGGAGATTCACACTTTTAAATTCACAAGACCTGGTTTCATTCACCATGGGCACTGCAGTTTAGGTAGTAGCCTCAGCTGTTATGACCCTTCTTGGTTCAAGTTAAATCACAGTCCCCCAGCATCCCAGCATGCTTTCCAGTCCTGTGCTGCGCTGTGGGGCTGGCTCCACCCTTCTGTTCCCTAGCTGGACCAGTGAGGGCTGGCTGACAAGAGGCAGTGCAAACCCGGCTGGAGATGCAGCCCAGTCTGCAAGGTGGGGGCTGACCCCCTAGACAAACCCCGGCTGGGGAGCCAGGGAAGGTGGGGGCTAAACACCCTTTCTCCTACTTAAATTTACTGCTGGCTGCAACTGTGGACTACAAATCCCAGAAACACCAGGAAGCAGAAAGAGGAAGTGATGAACGGCCCTGCAGAGTCCTCCTGCTGTGATTCTGGACTGCAAATCCCAGACTTGGGGACAGCAGGAAAAAGAGATGAACACAGCCAGAGAGCTGTGCTCCAGCACACCCCAGCTTCTGGCCTGAGCCACTGCAGGCATGTGGCTGGATTTCCTGTATCAAAGGTAGATGTTTGTTCACTTCTGTTTCAATTTAACCTGTGTTTAAAATAACTTGCAAAGACTGAATTGATTCTGCCTCGGACATTTTGACTGTCTGTACCATCAGAACCAGCTTTCCAGGCCAGAGGAAGTATGGATGTGACTAGGAGCTCCCCACAGCAGCTAGTCCACAAGTAGAGGTTTAGCACTCAGCTATGGCCTCTGAGCTATGGCACTTGTTCTTTTAGGTCAGGTAGTAGAGGGTGATGCTCTTTACCATTGTCTAGCCTCATTCCCCATGCCAGCTCATCACATTACAATGTCATCTGGGAAAGCAGATCATGCCCTAGTAAATTCTTATTTCACAGGTCACGTTACTATTTTTCTTTCTTCCATATAAGCATTAGAACAGGAATGGATGATGCCAAGATTCAGATTAATGGCGGAATATTTGAAAAGGAAAAAAAAAAAAATCAATGTTCTTAGTAACTCAGAATAACTGTTTTTGGAATTGATGTGTACTGTTGGCTTCTCCAGACCCAAATGCAGGACATAAAACAAAAGATCTTGGAGGCACAAACTTTTAGTTTGTGTGAACTGCAATACTTCCATCAAGTTAATGCAGCTATGCTAATTCATGCTGGTCAAAAAGTGACCCAACACACCTGGCATAAACAAGAATTACTTGTATTTTGGTAATTCTCATGCTGTCTTCTAAAGCTTTAATTTTGCAAAGAGGATCATGACAGAAAATGCCTGATACACAAAGCAATGGGGTTCCAGGTGCCTTCCTGAAGGAGTCTACCTGTAGGACAGGGGCCATAGATAGCAGGGCTGGGATGTTCACAGGAGCTTAAAAAAATTGGGTATATTCAGTTTCAAGGGGATCTGGGCAGTCCACTATTTTAAAAATCCATAACTGAATCCTTGGACGCAGGGATTGTATCTTGTCTACACAGCCAGTGCTAAATACATCATGCAGCCTATTGTGATATAAATGATAACAACAGCCCTGTTTTCTTTGCATCTATTTTTTAGACATCAATGCTGCTCCTGAAACTGTACAGGAAGAATCCTGTTCCCCAGAGGTTCCACTGCAGGATCAAGGCCTGACCTATCAAACTGTACAAAGTCTTGTCTTCACATTTTTTTTCCCTGTATAATGCTGGCACTTAAATAAAAATATATGAGTTAGTTAAAACAGTTGGTCACTGTACTGATTTAAACCACAAATTTTAATAATCATTTAAATAAACCAGTGAGCAAAAATCCTTGATTTAAATAATCCTTTCTTGGTTCTGCATTTATGTTTTGGATGCACACTCCCAAAAAGGAAGACTGATGCAACAGGATATGCTGTGTCTATACACATTCACACAAGCAATTACAGACCTTACCATAGATTTATTCAGGTTCTTACATTTTACTTTTTGTTGCTATGTTAGAAAATGTTGCATGACATTCCTTACTTAATATTTTTTTATTTGTGATTTGGATAAAGATGCATTTGGAAAGAAAGTCTGAATTAAAATACATGAGCATCATTTTAAAATGTTTATTTTAATTAATTAAAGTCACCTATAGCTTCCTGGATGTCTAAAGGAAAAATGCTCAATCCAAATTAATTTTGAATTTAAAACTGATTTATTAACTAAAGGTAGGATTATCTATTGTTAATCAGGTGACCAGCTTGCTTCTGATCACCATATTTAAGCTCTGGTTTCTGAAATATGGAAGAGCTGGTTACTGGACTGAAATGAACTGAATGAAGTGAAGAAACTCTGGGGCCATTGCCAATGACTTCCACCTGTCCAGCAGCAAGTGTGTGCTGCTTCCACTTTAATTAAAAAATACATACACTTTAATTTGAATAAAATGTTAATAGACTATAATAAATTTGGCTTTCACCTCTGTTACCATAATTTCAAATTTAAATGTTAAATAAGGTTATTTCTAAAAGGACAAATGTTTTAATGTACATAAATACAGTATAACTCACGCCTGGGCTGAAAAGTGACTAGGACAGGCCCCCTCAGCTAGGCATTTTCTGAACTTGTACACCTGCTTCCCATCAGAGTATGTGAAAGGCTAGGTTTGGGGGGGGGGTGTTAAGTCAGGAAATGATGTTAATAGCAACAATGTCATCATTAGCTATGGCCTAGTTCTGTAAAAAAAATAAATAAAAAAATAAATAGACTGGGTGTCTCTTAAAATGCAAAAATGAGCAATACTGTGACTGGCATTTTCACCGCAAAAAATCACAAAATGGAAAGTGCAACTAGATTTGCATAATTTCACTCCTAAGAGTTTTGGTGATAGTTTGTCCTGAGGCTCCATTTATGAACAGCTTACAAAGGATTAATAACCAACAAACAGACATTTGAATAAAGAGTTAATCAAGATGCTGCTCAGAGCCAGGTAGGAACACAAAACCAGAAGGGATTTTTGGACCATTGAGCCCAGCTCCCCCTGCTGCTACAGGCAATCAATCACATCATAATGCCTCTTTCATAAACTGATCAAGCTCCATCTTCAAAAAGGGGTTTGTTTTCTGGGTCTTGGGCTAGCATGCCTACTGGGAAGCCGGTCCAGAATCCCACTGCTATCATGGTTGGGGACCTGCTTCTAATTTCCAGCCTCTGTTTATTCATGGCAGGTTGATACCCATTTGTTCTTGTGCCAACATCATTCTTTAGCTCAAAGTGAGCACCCTCATCTCCTTCCCAGATGTTTACCTACCTGTGTATTTGTGAAGAACCCCCCTCTGATCAATACCTCTAATTAGACCTGGTCAAAATACTCCAAATTCCAAGAACTTTAAATACAGTATATCTAAATTTAAAGTTCTGGATAAAAACTGACAAATCTATTTCTTTCCTCACAAAAGTATGAACGTTTCCAATACACATTTTGCATTTTTGACCAGTTGCATGAATAGAACACATTGTTCAAATTTTTAAAAAGCTGTCTTTAAAAAAAATCCCACAAAGTGACATGCTTGTTGATCAGATCTATTCTAACTCAGGTATAATGCACAAAAGCATAAATATTATGTATCTAAAAGGCATAAACTATCTAGAATGTATTAAGCTGTTACATAAAGGATGTAATTTGTAAATGGTTTATGAAATAGCAAGCACCGTGACTTCCTTGAGAATTTTTGTTTTGTAGAAAGATTCTTGCCAAGGACTTAAGAGCATCCCAGGCATGCTTAGTAAACACAAAAGAAACATTTTAAAAAATTAAACCACCCCCATAATTGAAATGAAACAAACTGCAAAGGTGCTTGGCCTGTTTTAAGAATTCCCTGCATTTATATTCTAATTCCTTTTGCCTAAAACTGTTTTTAAGAACAAATTTCAGCTACTGTGTCCTTAAGGCCCCCTACTGTACTTGCCGCAAGAAGTACTGTGGGCCCAAGCCTCTGTTTTGAACTGCATTTCCGACAGATCTATGCAACAATCACAAGAGAAGGGTCACCCTGACACAAGGAAGCAATTTTGGTGGCACAAGGCCAGCATGTAGGTTCTCTAGTCATGCTCCCATTCACCTTGCTGGCACAAAGGGCAGT